CCCCTTTCTTATCTGTAGCGCAAGAGCTTGAGAATGAGCTGCAGACCCAGAGCAGGGCTCCACCTCCTCAGCGAAGCTCCGCCCCTCCTGTTTCATGGGGAACGACGGGGGGCACCATGTGGGCCACACTCACCCCCTGCGCCTTCACCTCCACCGGGAAGAAGTCCAGGCTGTTGTCGGAAATGTGTCCGGCCACCACGATCTCCGAGCCCTGGTACAGCTGCTTGAAGGAGCTCTCTGTCAGGGAGTCCACGGAGTTCTCGGGGTACTGCATCTCGATCCCCCACAGCAGGGGGTTGGCCACCTCTGTGTAGAAGCCCTGTGGGCACACACACACACACGCACGCACAGGCATGATCAGGAGGGATGGAGGCAGCTCAGTGCACAGCTCTGTGACTCCTACCCCAACCACTGTCACTGCCTGTCAGCGGGTGTGTCTGACCGTGAGCCCAGCAGTGAGATCTGGGACTGCGCGGTGCTCACACTGGCCACACTGTCCGGCGGCTTGGGCGGAGTACCTGGAGCTGCAGCGCGGCGTCCGAATCCTCGTAGATCCTCCTGGCGAAGCCGTTGTTCTCGGAAGCCAGTTTGTGCAGGAAGTTGTAATCCACATTGTATCCGAATCCCAGGCAGTACAGCGTCATGTTCCCTCCAATGGCATTCCGGGCGTTTTCCTGGATTTTCTCAAGGTTTGTGACGCCTTTCCCAGGAAACAAGCAGGACGTGACTCCCCGTACCGACGACACGCTCACGCTGACAGGTATTCTCGGCGTGCTCTCAGGCATCACCTTGGGTTCTGCAGCACTGGAGCGTCAGAGCGCCTCACCCTGGTGACGACGCCCCACTTCCCGATTTTTAACCGTCTCACCCAATTTTCCCCCGGGACACCTCCCCCAACGTCGTCTGCCTCAGCAAAAACATAAGCCCCACAGAAAGCAAGAAAGCCGATAAAACGTAAGAGTGAGATATGAGGGTGCAGGAGTGTACCCCATCATTTTGATGAACCCAAGCCCGCAGGCCAGACCCACAGGAAGCCCGTCAGAACTGCCAGAACATGCAGCGCTCCAGCAGAGGCTTGGGGCAGCCAGAGCTCAACCCATTTGTGGTTTGGTGTGGTCAGAACTCGAGGCAGTCACAACTAGACCGGGTCAGAACCTGACCCAGTCAGGGCTCTGGGCAGTCAGAACCTGACCCAGTCAGGGCTCAGGGCAGCCAGATCTTGACCCATTTGGGGTTTGGGGTGGTTAGAACTTGAGACGGTCATGTCTTGACCCATTTAGGACACAGCACTCAGAACTGGACCTACTCAGGGCTTGGAGCAGTCACAGCGAGACGCGGTCAGAATTCGACCCAGTCAGGGCTCGATCCAGTAAGAGCTCAGGGCAATCAGAACGTGATCCAGTTGAGGCTCAGAGCAGCCAG